TCGGGTCACCGCCCCAGGCGCACGCCCAGCCGGACCTTTAAAAGCCGGCGGAGCCTTGACGGACACTGTTGTGGAGGACCGGACAGTAGCTGGTCCAGGCACCTCCAGCTCCTGAGGAAGGGGCTCTTCGGCTTCCAACCGAGTGTTGGCCTGTAATGCTACTGCACTTTTTGGGGAGGGGGAAATGAAAAATTTTGCAAGAGTTCCGAGATAAAAATAAGAGGTCTTGGTTTTAATGTTTTCTGACCTGAATCATCCCGAGGACAAGCTGCAGTTAGGCAGCGGGTGGGGGTGGGAGCAAGAAATGTTATTTCAGAAACTGCAAAAGGGGCTTTTTCGGAAAAAAAAAAATAAAACGAGTGTCGGGAGAGTTTCTGGCTTGTCTGGAAACTGCAAGACTAATTGCCATGCGCTTCCGCTTTGAAACTGGCAGCAGACAGCATCTTGAAAATGACTCACTAGCGGAGCTCACAAAGAAACTGTGGTTTGCTCCTTCTCAGGTTTATGTATTTGTGCCTTTTACAGTTTCCTTTGTAGTGTTGGAGGGGTCCCCCGCCCCTTCCCCGCCGGCCCCCTCCCAGCCTCCCGCGTTTGGAAGCCCCTGGCCGGTCTTTAACTCTCCCCCACCCCCAGCACCCCAGGCGGGAGGGGGGTGAGGGGGAGGCTGAGTTGTTTTTGGAGTTGGCTGGGGAGAGGGTTAAAGGGATTCTGCTGCTGCAGGGGGAAAAAGTTCCCTGAATTTTCCACTGGCTGCTGCAGGAAGAGAGAGCCCCTTTAGTCATTGCTAAGTAATGTCTGCACACACACCAACTAATCTCATTAGGAGTTTCCGCTGCTCCGCACAGGAGGGGTTTTGTGCAGCCACCGTCGGGCGGGCGAGCCCTGCGCTGGAGAGGGGAGACAAGCTACGGCTTTATTTACCTCGAGGTGCAGCCGCCAGCCGAGCCTTTGCAGGGTCGTGTCTTTGAAAACTTTGAAGTCACTTTGGATTTCGGACTTACAGGTTTTTCTTTCCCAGTTGTGTGTGTGAAGTTTCTATTGCCTAAGCAGCTCTACACACCCATCCTCTCGCGGCTGAGCTTCAGTCTTTGTTGGGGGGGGGGGGGGGGAGGAGGACGCGGAAGCGATGGGAAACCAAGCATGTTCCAGGCATCTATTAATGAGCTCAAATCGGTTTCTGAGCCTCATTGCCTTGTTGCCAGACACAATACCCTCTGATCTGTCTCCCTTTCTCTCTCTGTGTGTGACACATTTATTTGGGAAAGGTCAGTTATGAGTTTCAATTTATGGGCATTATAAAATACAAATTGTGTTAGGAGGGCACATGGGTCAGACAGTTAAGAAGATAGTCCATAAGTGTTTTTAGAGTTTCCAGTAATGATCCTGCCTGCAAAAACCCCTGATGGTATTACTATGCCAAATATAGCAAGGGCCTTCTGCCCCCCCCCCTTTTTAAATTAAAAAAAAAAAACCCTTTATATGATGGAGATGTGTAGAGTTACTAAAAAGGGTAAAGAATTTGAAGGAACCCTATTGGAACTGTAGGGCTCCTTTATTGACAAGGATGTCTTGAGGGTTTCTAAGATGTTGGCATTTTTTTTTTTTATGGTAGCAAAGCATGTCCTAAAAACAGCCTAACCAGCCCGACCAGGTTGAGTCAGTGGACACAAGTACAGGATGTCCCTAACACTGTGTGTGGCACAGGGTAGGTGCTCACTAAATTGTTGCATTGAGAGCTGTGAGTAGGATAACAGGACTTACAATAAATAGATAAGAAAAGAAGCTTTGCGAAGCTAACAGCATTCTGCATGAGCGTTTCTTCAGGACAGAGGTTGTAAATATTTTCTCAAGACTCCATTTCCTTCGAAATTAAAAGGAGGTAATTAGAAGTCTTCATTCCAATAAGTTATTATGTGGCTAGTTCTCACCTGGGAGTAATTTTGCCTCTCAGGGAGCATATGACAGTATCTGGAGACATCTTGGTTGTCATAACCATCCGGGGTGCTATTGGCATCTAGTGGGTAGAGGTCAGGGATGCTGTTACACAGCCAACAACATACAGGACACCATTCCACCCCCCCAAAAAAGAATTTTCCAGCCCAAATTGTCAGTAGTTTCCAGAATGAACAACTCTTGTTTCCCATTAGTGACGGTGATGATGATAACTCTTTTATGTGCATTCATTCAGTGAAGAGGACATTTAAAACTCATCAGTTGCCCTTTTCTGCCTCAATATAACACATATGCACGGATTTTTTCTCCCTCTTTTTGGTCAGTAATATGCAGTAGCGCGACATGTAAGGGAAGACATTGTGGCGGTGTACCTGTTAGACCGTCTCTGGACCTCCCTCCCTTGGTGCTAATGCTTTTTGGGCCAGAATGGCAATAGCCCAGATAGGGGAGAGCAGTGATATATTTTTTTCTAGCCCCATTTGAATTTTAAAGTTGCTTAAACATTTACTAAAGACCTCCTCTCTTTCTTATTTAAAAAATTTAATAATTCAAAAGTGCTAGTATACAGTAAATGTAACTCTGAGGTCATATATCAGAATTTATATTTGTAATAAGTTTTTGGAACTTGGATCTTTTCCTGAAATTGGTTTTAAGGGACTTCCAGGCAGTGCATATAAATTTAAAAAACTCCTTTCCTAGCTGTCAGATACTGAGTTTTGTATGTCCTGTGCTACCCAATTATATTTATAGATCTATCTGCTTCAAAAACCAATATGGTTGCAGAGCATTCCCTATTGATAAACCCAAACACTTAAAATAGCTTTGCTCCTTTGCAGCCCTAGAGAGTGACCTAGCCATCTCCATGTTTCCCAGGCCTGGGGTTCCCCATTAAACTTTAGAAGAAATCTGTTCTCTGTCCGTTCTGGTTGTGCCCTGGCTGCAGGCAGCTGGCTTCTGCCCCTTCTTAAGGGCCTGCACCTACACATACATGTGAGTGACCCAGGTCATTTGAATGAAGGCCCCCACTCCTGTCTGATTTTTCTGTATGTTTCAGGCAAGAGTTGTTGTTGTTGTTTTTTTAATGCCCTAGTTACCCATAATTCCTCTTTGCCTTCATAGTTTGAATTATAATACACTTGAGACCACGCTAGCGTAACACAATTTTGAAAGGTTAGTTGTTGTTTTTTCTGTCATAAAAACACGAATGTGAATTATCATAGGGAGATTTAGAGAGTCACTAAGAACAATATAAACATCTCCCATAATCCCACTGTTAACGTTTGGTGTATATTTTTCTGGTTTTATAAATGCATGTGCGTGTGTGTACATACACAGATATACACGCACATGCACACATGTAACCTTCTTAATTGCGGTCACACTATGCTTTCTGTTTTGTAACTCATTTTCACTTTATGTATTATGCAGCATTTTAATAACTAGTATGAAGACCAAAGTGACCACACATAGAGCTTGTATTTATTGATCTAATAAATATGTTGATTCAACAGTAGATTGACATAATTTCGACATGGACACATTCAGTGTTTTTTGTCTTTGTGGCTCCGCGTAATGTTCTAAGAATGCTGTCCTCTTGAAAGACTGAATTCATATGTGGTGTGAAATTTGGGATTTTGCTGAGTTTCTCTGTGATTTAAGAATGAGTCATGATTTGCAGGAGAATATCAAGATGTAGTAACAGGAAGTGCAGGACACTACACATAAAAATAGAATGTTCAGTGATGAAAAAAAGAAACTAGGTTAAACCAAAAATACACCTTGAATTTACCTAACTATAGGAGGCGGGAGGAGGTGCCTCTTGCACACATTGACAACTCTTTATTTAGCACTGTTTCATTTGATATCAGTAGAGTTTTCAAACTTTGGTATTTTAAGTGGGTTTTCAGCTCAAGGTTTGCTATTGCCCATGGCCAGTTTGAATTGAGATCATCCAGGTTTTGGGTTGAAACCACGGCAGGGAGACCATGAAAACGCTGTTTTTTTGCCACCTTGCATGCAGCCCTAGTAAACTGAGTTGTCAGCCTGTGTGTGGGTAACCTTCTGTTAACAAACCCTAAAGGCCTTCAAAAATGGTAGATTATTTTGTCTTTTAGATAACGATTCCATGCAGATATTTGACTCCGCATGACTCCTATCTGCACCAAAATAAAAATGGCCTTTCATCCATTACTGGAAACTTATATTCATGTCAGCAGTTTAAAAATAAACTTGAATTGGTCATTTCGATAAATTGGAATTTGGTCTGAACTGCCAGGAGAGGTTAGCTCACTGACTACTTTATGTGTTTTTAATTCCATTTTCTGGAAAGTAATTACAGAATTATTGTAAGAATTGAATGGGATTATTTTTAATGTGGCAGTGAGATTTATTTGTACGTTTTTAAAGACATTAAGGTTTTGGTTATGCTAATGTATTCCAATTTGAATTGGACAAAATGAATTTTATTTATTACACACATGCTCTAAACAGTTCTAATGCACACACATTGTCTTAAGTATTCTTAGAGCTACTATATCTAGCAGACCCTAATTTTCCATGCACAAACATGGGAGTGGTGGGGTATGATGCACACTTATCTGATGCTTCTTCTTAGATCTCTAGAGAAAGTATCAGATAGGTATGCATCAGGCCCACCCCATCACTAGTGTTAGGGGTCTTCTGTTGCAAGCA